CCAACAGGAGGGACCTGTAGTAGTTTTTAATTTTTTGTCACATCTACAGTATATATTTGCTTAAATCCCCTCCACCAGTTAGAACTGAAGACGCCTCTCGGATGACAGGTGAAACGTCTTCTTGAGAAAATGTCACGACCAGTTGCCTAACGGAACTCTTCAACCTTTACCTGGATGACTGAGAATCTTCATAGACAACTCTTTTCTTTATTTGCCCTCAAAAACTACAAACTCAGGTTTAATTCAAGGTTAAAAACAAAACTCTTCTCTGAGCGTTCTCCTTGATGGCCAGCCAGGTGTCATTCTGATGACTTTATAAAGTTTTTCAACAACTATTGTCACATAAGAGTTCTCACCTTGGCAGTCTTGTCCTTTGAGGCACTGATGAACATGGTGAGGTCTACAGACGTCTGGATGTTGTTGCTGTGCTCCTTAGCTTTCTTCAGGACAAATAAACAACAACAAAAATGTTCCTCATTATCACAAACTCTACAAAAGATGCTGTCTGTGATTCATTGTTTCCTTCAGTATTTAATTTCTATAATACTGTGTGCAAACTATTTCTTTAGCAGTAATCAGGAAGCCATGTACTAGCTGCAGTGTAGTTTCTTTTACGGTATTAATTGGTTTAGGTTGCACATGGCGATTACTTACCGATCTGTTGTGGATCCCTTGGTCGAAGAAGAAGTTCATGAAACACTGATGGCCCATCTGCTTGTCTGTGGAAAACATGACGGCTGACATCAAAGAAGGGACATGGAGCAAAAATTATTTTCATTTTTCTGATAATTTGACAGGAAATTATCCATACATTTAAACACTCATACACTAATATGTCTGCTGGAACCGCCTATATACAGTCCCCTCCAAAGGTATTGGAACGGCAAGGGCAATTCTTTTGTTTTTGTTGTATACTGAAAACATTTGGGTTTCAGATCAAAAGATGAATATGAGACAAAAGTTCAGAATTCCCGCTTTTATTTCATGGTATTGACATCCAGGTGTGTTAAACAACTCAGGACTGAGCCCCTTTTCTTTGAACCCACCTACATTTCAAGTGAGCAAAAGTATTGGAACAGACATTATTAACATAAATTAAAGTGAATAACATTTAATATTTGGTGGCGTAACCCTTACTTGAAATAACTGCATCGAGCCTGCAACCCATTGACTTCACCAGGCTGTTGCATTTTTCATTTGAAATGCTGTTCCAGGCCTTTACTGCGGCCTCTTT